TTTGATTATGAAACGTGAAATGAAATGTTAGAATTTCATTTTGAAGGAGGATAGAATCACTTTGTGTGATGGAAAAAAACCAAGTGTTATTTCAATCCTTGGGTAAGGGTGGAATTTGTACCTGGGAAGAAAGAAACCTGCTGCAGGGAAGTCCACTGCCCAGAAGTGACAGCTGGCTGGGGAACGTGACAGAGCAATTAGAAGAACTGGCAGAGTAAAAATGCTCAGCATTTTGAAGTCACGGGCAAAACGCCCTCCTCTTCACACATCAGTGGAGTGTTCAGGAAATCACTGCAGTAATGTCCTGGTCAAGTGAAAACCTGAGGGATGGCCACAGTGCAGCCATGTTCCCAAATCAAGGGCCGGGTCCTCAAATACGCGTGAAGTTATGCTGTTTGCAAAGGCAGCAGAGGACGACGGTGGTATGGGATGAGGGAGGACAGGCGGTGGAGGCCAGAGCACTTAGGGCCTGTTGGCCATGGGTGTTTGGACTTTTTCCCAAGAGCACTGGAGGATTCTAAGCATGAGGGTCACAATACTTGATGTTTACTTTTGAAAAAGCACATTCCAGTTGCTGTGTGGTGAATGAATTTTAGGGGGAGAAGAATGGAAGCGAGGATGTCAGCGAGGGTTGGCGGTGACTTGGAGTCAGCGTGAGTGGCCTGGAAAACGATGTGCTCTTTCAGGGTTCTGGGTCTTCATTTACGATAGACACAGTGCAGGTCAGCAAGGCTTACAGAAGAGAGGGTCTTGGTTTAGACTTTTGACTTGACCCCTTTCTGGCTGTGGGACTTTTGGCAAATGGCTTAGTTTTCTGTAAGAATCAGTTGTCTCTTCCGTTAGATGGGGACGGCAGCAGCCTTGATGGTGGTTAGGGAATGAAATGATTGAATGTTTACAAAACGCCTGGCTCATAACTGATGAGTAGTAACTATTACTAATGTTCGTGTAAAGGTAGGATACATCTGTTAGGAGTCGTCTTAGTAGGCCTGACGAAGGTCTGTGGTATGCTGGGTGTGGGCTTGGAGGAATGGGAAAAGGAGGGAGGGGGCCACGAATTCGCAGTCTGAAATCCTTGGTATGGTGGTCTGAGATGTCTCCCCTCAGGGTCACTGAGCACTAACTAGTCCAGGTGGCTGGAATGCTGTTGCATCATTCTGTGTAGACAAATCTTGGGGTAGGAACATGGAGTTATCAGCAGTCAATATTGGTTCCACTTTGTGAATGCTTCAAGGCTGTCTTCTGCTCATTTGTTAGAAATCGGGGAGTTGTTCGACTGCATTAGAGTACCAAGTTCCCATTAGTGCTTCCTCTCCTGACCTGGCTCTGAAAAACTTGACTTCCTCCTGAGTTCCTCTTCCAGGATTGTGTGTGTGTTTAACAGGGAAAACCTCAGAACAAAAGCTAATACAAAATGGCTAAGATGACACAGGCTTATCTTGCTCTCAGACCAGGAATTTAAATATAGTCAGTTGTTCTCCACTAAGAAATGCTGTACTGACGGGCAGAGTTAGACTATTGTCTTCTCCTCTTGGTAAAGGACAAAAAAGGTAATTTCCCTAAGAGAAATAATAAAAAATGGAATGGTCAAGGCCCCACCCCATTATGGAAACAAAGGAAGGCTGGGAGAATATTAGAATCACAGAGAATTAAAAATCTGAAGGATTTTAGGATTTAGCTCCTTCCTTTTTGCCTGAGGTCTTACAATAAAAGCATTTCAAAATGGCATTTAGTCTTATCTTAATCATTAAGGTCAGAGAACTCAAGCAAAATGGTTCCTTACAATTCTGTATCTGGAATGTATTCATATTTGTGACTATACATACCAAAAAAAATACTGATTACAACATTGAAGTGTTCATTCAAAAACACCCAATAACAGTCATTGTTATTCTCAATGGGCATAAATCTCTCAGAACAGGACTTTTTCATCTTATGATCAAAGTTAAAACTTTTACTCTCAGCCCATTTACTGATAGGTTAATGTTTGTCCTTATATGTAAATTGGGACCAACTTGACATCATTGTTTAGGCTGCCTTAGAGTACCAGAACAGGGAAAAAGGAAGGGGTAAATGAAATACGATATTATATGTTAAGGACTGAAGTTGTGAACAGATCATGTCCCAAGGGACAAAATGAGTTATTTTTTTGTTCTTTTGGAATTTTGTTGAGTTAAATAATCCTCAATTAGTAGATGAGTAGCCAGAATTTGACAGTCTGATATAAAAGTGATTTTAGATTATATATATAAAAGGTGCTGAATAGTTTGCACTATGAAGTAAAATCAGAAGTTGTACGTGATTTGCATCTGGTTGATGCTTAGTATGTATTTGAAGACTTGAGTAATTAATGATAGAATTTTCCTTATAATAAGTCTTTGAAGCCTCTTATAAACGTTTTTTTATATTTGGCCTGATGTAGATTTCTAAATATGTCTGTATCACAGCATTTTCTAAATACCATATTTGGAAAAGGAATATGTATTTAATTTTCTTGGGATATTATACAGTTTTATTTATCCAACATTTTGATATTATTCGTTTTTATATATGATCTGGATTTAAATATGTAATGGTTCATCTGGTTTGTTAATGTTTAGGATGCAGCTTTTGCCTAAAATGCAAAAGTCCAGTGTGTCTGTAATAGTAGTATGATTTAAGGATAACAAATGTGGGTACATACTCACTTTTTTTTTTTTTTTTTAGAAACAGTGCAGAAATGGAACCAGTATTTCAGAAACCGCCTTACTAGGAGGAGCTACCCCTACATCGGTATTTTCTCAAAATGATCCAGAAGTTATCATTGTGGGATCTGGTGTTCTTGGCTCTGCTTTGGCAACAGTGCTCTCCAGAGATGGAAGAAAGGTGACAGTAATTGAGAGAGATTTACAAGAGCCTGACAGGATAGTTGGAGAATTTCTGCAGCCAGGTGGTTGCCGCGTCCTTAAAGACCTCGGTCTTGAAGGTAGGTTCATATTGATTTTTAGGAGTTATGTGGTATAAGCATATTCACTTTAGACTCTCCTATCACTGGTAAAAAGGGATTCAATTAATTTTCACTTATAAGTTACTCTACTTAACTTGAAGTGTGATTAAAAAACATCAGAAAACTATTTTGATTTTAGCATAGACATGATAAGTTTTTCTTTCATCAGAAATGAAATTATTTTAATGTACTTTATCTTAATAGATATTTTAATGTATTTACATATAGTATGCGACAGTTTAATACACCTGCTAAAGTCCACTTTTTCACTTAACATAAACGTGTTTCTACTGTTAACGGTTTTTTCCTTATAATTGTAAGCCTATGCATAGCATTTTCCTAATTGATACTTCATAATGTACTTTACCTTTCTAACTTAGATTAATATTCAGGTTATGTTCAGTTATTTATTAGAGATAACACTGTGGTGAACCTATTCTTGCATATGACTTTAGGGCCGGCCGAGTGGCTCAGTTGGTTAAGAGCTAGCTCAAGAGTTTGAGCTCTGAGCAACAGCGGTTCGAGTCCCGGCCCGAGCTGAGCAGCCACTGAGCTGCCAACAGGTAGCAGGATGGCTCAGCTAAAAAAACAAAACAAACAAAAAACCCCCCAAAAAACAACAACAAAAAAACATATGACTTTAAAAATTATTAAAAACTCTATCTTTAGGGTGAATTTCTTAGAGGAAGTTCCAAGACTAAGATTATTATGTCAGAGGATGCTAACTTCTTTATGGTTCTTGATATTATTGCTTTAGTTATTTTCTAAAATGTTATTAGTTTATAGCATGACCAATAATATATAAATTTATCAGTTTTATTTACTCTCACCAGCACTTTTGATAGATTTGATATCTTATTGTTTCAATTTTATTTCACTGATTTTTTTTTAAAGTCAAATTTTTAGCATCTTTCCTGATTTGTTCAGTTTCTCTATTGTTTAATGTGAATTATCTGTATACTTTCTACCCATTATTATTGGGGGTCTTAATATTTTTCCTACAGATTTTGATGGCTAAGTTTTATATATAAATAATAATCTTTTGTGATACTACAAACTTGCTAAGATTATTGTCTTCCAGAAGAATTAAAATTTCTGAAATAATTATATAGTTCTCTAAATGGTATCATAGCTTTTTTTTTTTTTTTCCAGTTAGTTGACATTCAATATTATATTAGTTTCAGGTGTATAGCATATAGACATTTATATAATTATGTAGTGATCCCCAATTACTCTAGTATCCACCTGGCACTGTATTCATAGTTGTTGCGACATTATAGACTGTATTCTCCATGCTGTACTGGACATCCCAGTGACTTTTATAAATACCAATTTGTAGTTCTTAATCCCATCATGTTTGCCACCTGGCTGAAGATGGCATCTCTTTCCATGCCTCTATGACCTCTTGGTGCTAGTATAACTCTGGGCATATTAACAAAGTTGATTTTTTTGAACCGAATTTTTTGCAGATACAGTGGAAGGTATTGATGCCCAGGTTATCCATGGCTACGTAATTCATGAGCGGGAATGCAAATCAGATGTTCACATTCCTTACCCTGTGTTAAAAGACAATCAAGTGCAGAGTGGAAGAGCTTTCCATCATGGAAGGTTGATCATGAGTCTCCGGAATGCAGCTATGGCAGAGCCCAAGTAAGATTGCTTCAAATATATAATGTTCAGGAATTGACACATTTAAACTTGGCCTTTGCACATATACTATTTTATAAATTTTCATAAGTTGTTTGGATAGGGGCTAGACCAGGGGTCGGCAAACTTTTGAGACGGAAGAGCTAATCCTGTCCCTCACAACAATTTAAAAATTATTTGAGAGCCATAAAACAAATCAAATCACCATTATGTGAATAATATCCTTTAAAAATTTTATAACTGAAACTATGATAGTTTTATTTTCATTTTCAATTTTACTTCAGAGCCACATGTATGTACCCAAAGAGCCACATGTGGCTTGCGAGCCGCAATTCGCCGACCCCTGGGCTGGACATAGGTCTTACACTAAAATAAACCATGAGTTAGAAGAGCATTAGATCTTTCCAGAGCCTTTGTTAAGAGTATCATATAGAGACTTTGTTAGGGGGATGACATGGAACTATTGAGAATTTTCCTTTGACTAAATAAATGGTGTGATTTTTATGTGGCTGGAATTTAGAGGATGATAGTTGTCACTAAGGTGTACAAGTCCATGTGTGCCCATTTGGGAGTTGGGGTTTGTGGCTATGATGCTTCCTATTAAAATTCAGGACGAGGCATTCAAGGGGAAATAAATCCCTGTCCCATTGTTACGAAGGACCTAGTCTGACAGGACTGGCTTCTTTTCTTAATTATTAGCTTGTATTTGCCTCTAGCCTTAACACTATAATTAAGGAAGTCTTAAATATGAGAACCCTCATGTCATTGGCATGAGTGTTGACAAAGCAAATGAAGAAGTATATTTATCCTTAGGACTGAAAGGATTTGATATCTGGAAGTAGAATATGTTTATTGTAGAAAAATGGGACAATACCCCAAAATATAAAGAAGATTCTAAAAATTATCCATGACCCTTCTGACTAGAAGTAACTACTATGAATAATTTGGTGGATAAACTTCAATTCTGTTTTCGCATCTGTGTATGAATTGGTGTGGGTATGTAAGGTTTTTCTGTATGTTATTTTTTAATGAATTGAGATAAAAATGTTACTTTTTAAAATACTATTAAAATCATTACATTAGTAATATATATTCAATTTGAAGAAATTAGAAAATGAAAACCCCATATAATTCTAAAACCCATTAATGATGTTTTTGCTTTTTGTCCTTCCAGACCGTTTTCTATGCGTGTGTGTGCACCCACATGCATGTTCCGTTTATGTGGGTAAAATGGAGATGAGGGATAAGGAATTTATGATGCCTTATTTAAATTGTGCATGTGTGTCACTGTAGAATTTGTTTATTTATCTTTCAGCACACAGTTTATTGAGGGCATTGTCCTACAGTTATTAGAAGAAGATGATGCTGTGGTTGGAGTTCAGTACAGGGATAAAGAAACCGGAGACATCAAGGTGAGATGTTATCAAATGTTAGCTTTTCCCGAGAGATTTTTTTTTCCCCTTTCTTTTTCTCCTATTCCTTTAAAAAAGTAGGCTCACCAAATTATTATTCCACAAATGAACTGAGTTCTTTCTAAGCCCTGTGCAACAGGATGGATTTCAGATTGTAACACGTTGGTCTTTCGAGCACCTCAGCATGCTATACAAATAACTTTGTAAACAAACACCCCTGGATTAACAGCATTCAAAACAAATGAGAAATATACTCTAGCGGAGAAGCCAAGGGGAACTAGAAGGTGAAAAAGGAAGGATTCAACATAAAAGAAACGATTGGGATAAAATAAACCGTTGTTTAAATCAGAAAGGCAAGAATAAGAGACTGTGGGAAATAGCAGAATAAAATAGTTTGCAATATATGCTCATATGGGTCCAAGGCTAATCTGTTGATTCTTCTGGGCTGCTCTGTGGGGTCACCACCCCCTAGAAATTGTGCTCTAATGAGGGTGATTGCAAGGTAATATAAATATGTACATACATCCATGTGTACCAAAATTCTTCTAATTCTTTCCATCCACTTGATGGAAAGCACTCTGTGAAGTTAGAAAAATTCTAGTATAAAAAGAATCTGGCTAGTCCTTCAAATTCTTAACGAGATTTAGTCTTCTCTGGGCCATACTTGCTTTGCAGTTGTTTTCTCTGTTATTTATCAAAATGTAGCTTAATCCCCGATGGTTTGGATGGTGGAGCTTTTGAAGGAAGGTGATTCTTAGGGACTCAGGGTCTCCAAAAATTGGTTATGCATGAACTTTTAAACCCATGTAACAGCTTTTTCAATAGCATTATCTTCAAATACCAACTATAATGTTATCTGATCATATATTTCAATCCATTCATGCACATTTTAAAAGAATGGTCCTTGTAGGAGCTGGCTGAGTGGCTCAGTTGGTGAAGAGCTTGCTCAAAGGTTTGAACTCTGAACAACAGCAGTTCGAGTCCGGCCCGAGCTGAGCTGCCGCTGAGCTGCCAACAGGTGGCAGGATGGCTCAGCTAAAAAAAAAAAAAAAAACAATGGTCCTTGTACTGTGTAATTTCTAACCGTTTCACTGAGTAGTCTTTATTTTTGTTGTAGGAACTCCATGCTCCATTGACTGTTGTTGCAGATGGACTTTTTTCCAAGTTCAGGAAAAACCTGATCTCCAACAAAGTTTCTGTTTCATCTCATTTTGTTGGCTTTCTTATGAAGGTACTGTAGGGCTGTAGTTGTAGAAAAATAAAAGCAACTTGAAATTTGAAAGTTATTAAAATAGTTTATGTTTTTCTAGAATGCACCGCAGTTTAAAGCAAATCATGCTGAACTTGTTTTAGTGAATCCAAGTCCAGTTCTCATCTACCAGATTTCATCTAATGAAACTCGAGTCCTTGTTGACGTTCGAGGAGAATTGCCAAGGAATTTAAGAGAATACATGGCTGAAAAAATTTACCCACAATTACCTGGTAAGAAATAGGATTTCACTCCCATTGTAATCTACAGCTTGAAAGCCAATCTCACAAAAGGCTCTCCGTCTCCAGTTGTCCCTAAAGCTGTGTCTAAAATAGGCCAGAGGTAAGGTTGGCAGGTGAAGAAAGCATCCAGTCAATCAGATATACTAGAGCTAAACAACTTATTTAAACTAGCACGTAAGAAAAATCTCCAAATTAAAAAGATAGTTTCAATATATTTTTTCATATCAATAATTAAAGCAGAGTTTTCAGAATTATTGACAAAATTTTAATATTTTTTCAAGCACTCTAGATAGTAATCTGAGGTCTGTGAATTCTTGAAATATCTCATACTTAATTACTTTTATGCTTGCTTTTGTGATAGCTATCATTTATTGAGTGTCTACTATAAAGAGATGTTTTACAAACGGAATTTCATTTAATCTACACAACCACCCTATGACGTAGGCATTATCATTATCCTCGTTTTACAGATGAGGGAACCACGATTCAGAGAGGTTACTTAGCTTCTCCAGCATAAACTATTAGTGGCAGAGCCAGGGCTGCCTGGCTCATAATTCCTGCCCTCGGAATGTGACAGCTGTAAGGAATCAGCGCGATTTTAGTTTTGAGTTGAATACAGAAAGGCTCCATGAGATTTCAGGCATCTTTATAAAAACATAAAAATTACTTTCTGCGATTTTTTTTTTCTTTTTTGAATGGGAAGATATAAGAAAAATGTAAAAATTCTTAAGGCTATAGATGAAATGGAAACCCTGTTTGCCAATTATGATTATAGTAATAGGAAACTGCTCGGTATGCATACATTTTGTAAAAATACTGTTTTTTTAAGTTATATTTTAAGGAAAAGCACTCTGTTTAATAATTAACAGAATAGTAACAGAAATGAAGTGAAATGAAGGTATACATGGGACCAACTTAGATTTTTAATAATGACATTTTCAACATGTTAGTACAATTTTCACTCAGTTAAGCCATTTTTGAAGCTTTCAAAAATGAGCTATGCATATTTAGAAAAAGGATAGTCAATTACCTGGTTTTTTACACCATTTAAAAAATTTTACTATGGGTTGAGTTTTCCAATTCATAGGTTAATTGGAGCAGACTACCCTGAGGTCATGGAGGGAAATGATTTGCAGGCTTATATTAATATTAGGTTATTGAAGTACTGTTCCTTGTAGGAATAGAATAGTTTCAACATAGGCGTTCTGCTCCTGTAGCCCCAGATTACACTGGGAACTAAGAAAAGAAAGTTCATTTTCTATGAGTCTAAGCACAAAACTTTAAATAGGAAGTACCTTAGAGATAAGCTAATCCAATCGTTTCATTTTATAGATGGGCGAAAATGAAGCTCAGATAGGTAGTGCTTTCTGCATCTTATCCTTTTTCTAGTGTATATATCCTGCTGTTTGTGAATTGGTAGTATAGTCTATGTCATCTGATATTATCAGAATATGGTGGTGACAATAAATTAAATGTTAAATATGACAGCTGTCAGTTAACATTTGGAAGAGAGGTGGGGTGGTTTTCTCCCTATCTCATTATCTGAATTTGCTTCACTTTATTATTCACTCAGCTGTATGTCCACTTACATAAATTTTCTTAGATTCCTTTGTTAGCATGAATGACTAGGTGCTTAATAATTTTATAAATAAAAAAATTCGTTCTTGATTTATTACAAGGCCATAATAGATATGTAGTAGGTATTTGTTTTTACTTGCTAGATAAGGAAATGTGATAACTGGAAATTGAAACGTTATAAACCATGTGTTTGGCGGGGTGGGATTTATTGCAGATCACTTGAAAGAACCATTCCTAGAAGCCGTTCAGAATTCTCGTATGCGGTCGATGCCTTCAAGCTTCCTTCCTCCTTCACCAGTTAGCAAACAGGGTAATATTTTATTGGACTTGTTTTATAGAGGGTATTCAAAATATTCAAATACAATATTCCTGATGTCATGTATGTGATTAAATTTGTACTGCCGGGAATGACGTGTGGCAGAGAATTGGTTGCTGTGGATTAACACATTACTAATATCAAAATTAGTTTCATGATATCTTTAGTTATTTAATATTGAGTGCATATAAATCACTGTGCTTGTCATTGGGGATACAACAGTCAGATATAGTCCTTGATCTAGAGAAGGCAGTTTTCTAGACAGATGATGATAGAGACAGATGATTTCAGAACACTGTTGATAAATGCTGTAATAAAAACCCACTCATGGTGCCACCGATTCACTGGAAGGGGTGTACGCGGCAGGGAGAGGGGCGCTTGTGAACTGGGAAGGTGGTTAGGGAGGACATTGCTCAGGAAGTAAAGCTGGAGTGGGGGCATGGAGAAGGGGTGGGAGTTCAGAGCTGGGCAGTGAAAGGAGGGGCTTCTCAGTCGACGGAGGAACAGCTGCAGCGGCCTGTATGGCTGAGAAATGGTGGCACTTGGGATGAACAAGTGGTTTCCTATGGCTGGAGGAGAGGCTAGGTGTCAGAGTGGAAGAAAACGAAGATATTTAGTTTAGTTTTAATCTTATAGACAGTGGAATTCATTGAAAAGGTTTTTTTTTTTAAATTTTAATTTTTTATAATACTTTTGAGATATAAGCAAATCATACAGTTCACCCATTTAAAGTATACAATTCATTAGTTTTTAGTATGTTCATAGATATACGCAGCCATCACTACAGTCATTTTCAGAACATTTTTATCACCCCATAAGAAACCCTGTTCCCATAAGCCGTCACTCCTCATTTCTTCCCAACCTCCAGCCCCAGGCAACCAGTAATCTACTTCTCTGTATAGATTTGCCTCTTCTGGAGATTTCCTGTCAATAGAATCGTCACCATGTGATCCTTTGTAACTGGCTTCTTGGAGGTTCATCCATGTTGCAGCATGTATCAGTCCTTCATTTGCTATTATGGCCAAATAATATTCCATGTGTGAATATATTACCTTTTGATTATCCATCAGCAGGTAGACATTTGAGTTGTTTCCATTTTTGGTTATTCTGAACAATACTGCTGTGAACATCTGGGTACAAGTTTCTGTGTGGACATGTTTTCCTTTTTCCTGGGTGTACACCTACAGGTTGCACTGCTGGGTCATATGGTAACTCTCTTTAGCCCTTTGAGGAGCTGCCAGACTTTTCCAAAGCAGCTGCCCCATTTTACATTCCTATTAGCAATGTGTGAGTGTTCCAAATTCTCCCCGTCCTTGACATGTTATTTATTACCTGTCTTTTTTTGCTCCTAGCCATCCTCGTAGATGTGAACTGATACCTCATTGTGGTTTTGATTTGTAGTTTTCTGATAATGATCTTGAACATCTTTTCTTGTGCTTATTTGGCCATTTGCTTATCTTTGGAGAAATGTTTTTTCAGACTGCACATTTTTTAATTGGGCAAATTAAAAAACATTGATTGTTGGGTTTAAGAGTTCCTTATATATTATGTATGACTTGCAAAAATGTTCTCTCATTCTGTGGATTGTCCTTTTTCTTCTGTGGTGTTCACTGAAAATTTTAATTTTCATGAAGTTCAGTTTATCTGTTTTTTCTTTTGTTGCTTGTGTTGTTCATATCATATTTGAAAAGGCTTTGCCCAGTCCAAGATCACAAAGATTTACTCGTATATTGTATCCTATGAGTTTTCTAGTTTTAGCTATTACATTTCAGTGTTTGATCTGTTTCGAGTTAAATTTTGGGTATGGTGAGGAGGGGTCCAACTGCACGGTGAAGATTGCTGTGAAGCGTCCAAGACCTCTTGATTATTTTCCCTTGTAGAAGGCTTGCTTTCTATGTCTGGATGCCTGTAGATTTTTTTATTTTTTCATGAAGGAAGCCTTATAAACATTTCGACATTGTTTGAATTAACCTTAGATTTGCATGCGACTTTCACGAGGGCAGGGACCATATTCTTTTCCTCGTATTCCCAGTATCTGGCACATACTAGGTGCCTAATAGATATTGATTGCATCAAATCTTGAATTTTTGCCTCAACAAATTTTAGTCGTGATCTTATTCCCTTGTATTTTCATATTGTTATTTAGTAACTCACATGAATAATATTTATAAACTAATGGAGTAGTTACTTATCTTTTTGGCCTCCAGGATGATACCATAATCTAAATGATCTATTTATAGGTGTCCTTCTTTTGGGAGATGCATATAATATGAGACATCCTCTTACTGGAGCAGGAATGACTGTTGTTCTTAATGATATAAAACTATGGAGAAAATTGCTGAAAGGTATCCCTGACCTTTATGATGATGAAGCTGTGTCCCAGGTAAGATATTAAATTATTCTTTGACAAAAAAGTCTCAAAATAGATATCTTCGTGGGGCCTAAGAGGACTGGGGCTTTGATGGGGAGATTTGTATGTAGGAGCCTGATGCTTAGCAGTGGTTTCAGGGAAGACTTATTCAGGCTTGAAGAAGCGGACTTGCAACCTGTGAATCTTACAGAATTTCTAAGTTTGAATGTTAGGTAACACTGGATCGCACAGGCCACTTTACTCATAGTGATTGTAAATTTAGCTTCAGAGTCAAATAACTCAAAGCTCAGATTTTTTTGTTTGTTTTTTTAAATTATAAACATAAGGTATAACTACTTGTATGTGGTTCTCAGGATAAATATCAATTTGAGGGGATCATAAACATCAATTGGTACTTTCTTTTTTTTCCCTCCTTTCCTTTTTAGGCCAAACAGTCATTCTATTGGACAAGAAAAAGGTCTCATTCCTTCGTTGTGAATGTCCTTGCTCAGGCTCTTTATGAATTATTTTCTGCAAGAGATGGTACGTGTAGATATTTTTAAATCAATATTGAATTGCAGATTTTTAGCATAGAAACAGAGCTTTATTAAAAAAAAAGTGAGTTATTAGGCCAGAAATAGAAACGTTTCCTGAGTTTGCTGACTCTCAAGTTGGTAGTCCTTTTTTACTTCATCCTTGAGTGAGATTTTTAGCTTTTAATCATCATGTAGGTATGTTAGACAAGGCTGTTATCTGCCCTTAGATGAGCTTAAAAGCAATTCCTCAATAAGGTATCATTATTTTTAATTCCCCTGGTCCAGACCAGATCATGCAGATCCCCAAATGCATGATTGTGATGGAGGATCTTTCTGGCCATGGATTAAAAGGCAATATAGTTCATGTTTTTCTTCCTGAACGCTAGTGTCAATTTCTTCTCAAAGTAATATTTTATAAAATGAATACAAGCTTCAGATCATGTTCAGATTTTGTCCCCTGTTAAAATGCACAAGTAGCAGAATGCATCCACCTTTTGCTCATTTGAAACATCCCCAGGCTTTTGTTTTCACTTCCAAATTCACTGTAGAGAGGTGGTGGTCAGGCTCTCTATTAAGGAAAACATGACTTAGCAGAAGCAGTGTTAGAAATGGAGGGAAATGCAGCTGAGCCACCTCCCAACCATAGCAGTGTGCAAATCAGTTAATGGTAGTTAATGAGACTAGACTTGTAGGATTTCAAGAACTATAACTTAAATCGCCTAAATCGCATTACTTCAGATGTTTACAAAAACAAAAAAGAAACCAAAAAACCTATTTCTGTGACCTGGCCAAGGTTTGATGACCTGATTACAAAGGATAATATGGTACAAATACCTTCTGTAGCCTCTATAACCATCATTCTTGCTAACAGGAAAAAAAACGCATTGATTGTGACTTATGAAGCAAATCTCTTCTGCTATCGGGCAAGGCAGTTAAAATGACTGGTTGGGCAAGTAAAAATAAAGAACCAAGTTTTGAGTTTTTCTAAGCTTGTCTAAGCTCTTGAGTTTCTAAAATTTGGAATTGGCAGCTGCCAACCAAACAACATAGAAAAAGTTATGAAGATTGGAGATGGAAAAGAGCTTTACTGGAATACAAGTTTACCTATCGCATCCTTTATCTGTTGTAAAGAAAAATCTAGGCACACCTGAAAAGAACATTGATTCTAAATTAAAATAGGTTACTGATTGATTATACTATGTTGTAAGGGTTACTTAGAGCAGTGTAAGAGACTATACAGATGTAAGGCATTATTTTTTTATATTCACGGCTGTTCTTTTTACTTGATAATTTACTGCTCAAAGGTATGGGCTGGGTATCTCAGGGAATTTGGTTTCCAGCATTGCGATTGTATTACAAAAGTTTTATAAACTATTTTGCATCATTTAATGAATTTACAACATAATCAAGGCAGTAGTTTAAACAACTCAACTTCTGGGACCTACATTTTTGGGGTATTCATCATTTAATAACAGGAAAAAGTTTATTCATACTTATATTACTCTCCATAATGTTGATTGTGGAATTTAAAAGAAATCTTGGGTTGTTGAAATTCCAGGACTAGATTATTAAGAAATCATCTATAAGGGTTTCATATTTGTTACATCTTCATTTTTTCCTGATCTATCATTAGCACCCTAACATAACTGTGTAAACATTTTGATTGAGAGTAATTTTTAAATTTTATTTTAGATACCCTACTTCAACTAAGAAAAGCCTGCTTTTTATATTTCAAACTGGGTGGAGAATGTATCACGGGTCCTGTCGGGCTGCTCTCTGTGTAAGTTGTTTTGATGCCACAAAGAAAACATACTGCAGATTTTTAAGGATTGTTCAATTTATGAATTGCTACAAATTTTTCTTCCCTATGTAGTTTGTCATTTTATTATCCATTAGTATCCAAATCAGAAGGTAGCCCAGAGAAATGAAGCAAGGCAACATTTTGTCCTGTGTTTTACATCTGGAAATGGCATTGATTAGAAGTTGGTGGTAGACGAGGCTAAACCCCTTGATTAAAATAGCAGCTTATTGTTTGCCTGTGGGTTTATCCACACGATCTATTTATGGGAGCCGTGGATGACTGAGAAATCTATATTTAAAAATTAGTTTAAGGGCCGGCCGAGTGGCTCAGTTGGTTAAGAGCTCGCTCAAGAGTTTGAGCTCTGAGCAACAGCGGTTCGAGTCCAGCCCGAGCTGAGCAGCCGCTGAGCTGCCAACAGGTAGCAGGATGGCTCAGCTAAAAAAAAAAAATAATAATAAAATAAAATAAAAATTAGTTTAAGTGCAGGGACTCAAGAGACTTGGTAATAATTTTGAGGGTACAGACAGATGTTAAGTCATTTCTCAGTCATCTGTAACTGAACATCAGCACTGTTACCTGTGGAAAAACCTAGACTCCAGGAGGCCTGGCCATGTAGGTGCTTCACACTGAGATCTAGAGATGAATGAAAGAAAACCACTCAAAACATACGACTGATGTCAACTAGACGAAGGGGAGTTACTGTCTTCTCTGACAGGGGGATATTCTAAGTAGTTTCTTGTGAAAGTATTAAAAAAAAAATTTGTCCCTACCATCACATAGCAGGCAGACACAAGCTTGTGAAGTCCTAACATGCAAAGTGTTTAGCTGTATAGATGATACATAATTGAAACTTTTTATAGTAAATTTGAATGTCAGGGTCTTACCTATATATTTATTTTTATTTTTTTCTATTCCAGACTGTCTCCTAACCCACTGACTTTGATAGGACACTTCTTTGCTGTTGCAGTCTATGCCATATATTTTTGCTTTAAATCGGAACCTTGGATTACGAAACCCCGAGCCATTGTCAGTAGTGGTGCTGTATTATACAAAGCGTGTTCTGTGATATTTCCTCTCATTTACTCAGAAATGAAGTACTTGGTTCATTAAGCTTAAAGGGGAACTATTTGTGAATGAGTATTTGGAACTCACCAAGTCCTAAGAAACTTTCGGAAGAGGACTTATGCAGCATAGTACTTTTAAAGTGGAAACTCTTGGACCAAGATTAGGATTCATTTGTTTTTGAAGTTATTTGTATATAAACATGTAAATATATACTTTAATTTGCAATTTACAATGAAAGGTCAAATAAGATAGATATTTGAAAGAAGTGATTGTTACCATAAAATAGTGCTAATCCTGAGAACAGTTTTTCTTTTGAATTCGGTATTCAGGATGAGTTATTGTGGGACATACAAATAAAATGAAGAATGAACCTTCACGTCTGTTTGTTTCTTGTTGTGGACTTCGTGTAGCTCCATGAGAGTGGGAAAGAAAACCACAGTGGGATGCAAAACGCAGGGGAAGCCGCTCCGTTCAGTGATCGGCGCTGGGGAACGTGCTGTGCTCAGCATCTTTGCACCTAGTTTTCCTCATCTGTCTAGTGAGGCATGTTGATAAGTTCTTTTCTGAGTTCAGTGAGGCATTTTGATAAGTTCTTTTCTGAGTTCTTTGAAAAGACCACATTCAGAGAAGAAGCAATCAAGGGCTTGGTAAGTTCCGCTGTATAACATTAAGAAGCCAGGCTAGGATTATTTCCAGAAACAGATGAACAAATCAGCATTTTTAATACCTGGCATAATAATGAGCTTAAAATCAAAGAGCTCTTACTGAGTTTACAGTATATTTGAAGAGATTATAGACTCAGAAGATTTACAGGTCAGTAAATCCCCAAATACCACTCAAGTAAACTGCTACCCCTGACATCAGAGCAGTACAGTGGAACCTGGACTATTAAGAAACGACTTCAGAGTCTAATGGCTAGGGCTAGAATGACCCGTAAAGCCTTTATAATACAAATCTCTCTTTTTTAACTTACAAGTTCTCTTTTAGTTGAGAGCATGTTTCACCGGCCAGATCACCAGTGGCGTCACTTGCATAGATCACTTTGACTTGTTTGAGCAGAATGTCTGGTGAACTCATTCTCTTGGTTCATGACATTCTCTCTCATGTATCCCAAAGTTCTATTTTCTGTTTACAAACTCAGTTTCTTAGATCTGGCCTGTTCAGCAGCTGGTTTTCTTTGGGGGCCATTTTCACAGGCAACTCCTTTCTCGCAGCTGCCGTTACCAGACTGCAAATGGAAAACAGCAGCCTAGTTTTGAGATGAAGTGGATGGCTGTGGGCTCACCAGCTGGTTCCCACGCATCAGCCTCCCAGTGTGGGAGGCTTCCAGCTCCTTCCATACCCGGCAACCACTGCCTTTTCAAATTCTGCCCTGGGGCCTCGACCAGGTGAGGCTGTGAGGCGCCTGCTCCCCTCTGCTGACTAGATGCCCTTTGAAAACCTTTTCTAGGGCCGGCCGAGTGGTGCGATGGTTAAGAACTGGCTTAGGATGCCAGAGGGCCCCGGTTTGGATCCCACATATGAGGGCCAGTGACACTGCCCTCTACAGCTAAGATGCTGAACAACAGCTCAACCTG